GATACATAGCCAATTTGTCCGAAGCCATCATAGTCCGAATGTATCATCCTCATAGCCGGGAGACACCATGCCATGGCATGAGGATCTCTTAATCTTGCACATCATTATTCAAAGGCATCATGGTTCAGAGTCACCATCTTCATAGCCCGAGAACATCATTTCATAGCCTGCGAATCCTTTACTGCACAATTCATGGCCCAGTACATCATGGTCTAAGGACGTCATCCTCACTGTCCAAGGACGATATCCATGGTCCAAAGGGAATTTGCATCATCTTTAAATTTATGTGATAATCTGTATGCATGCATTGCATTCTGAGTTTGCAGGTAATCCGGAAAGTAATTGTTCTCATAACGGGAGCAATCTTCGCTCCAGTTTCCATTCAACGTTCATATCCTTCAATTATTTCAAACGCAACCGACCACCGTCCGCTACTTATTCTCACCTGATGCCCACTCAAATATCTGTAACCATTCTCAAACTGTTATATCCAAAATATTCAGTCCGTTCTTAGAATAATTCTATCGGTTTATTCCACCGTCGGATCCAGAACTACACATTGCCTGATTCTTTTATAACCAGGGATATGTAGGCAGCTCAGACACCAAGGTGCGGCCTATAATTTTCAAAACACTCCATTCGGTCAAAGTTGGTCATCCNTATATATATATATGTATATATATTCATCATTTGATTTACAAGCATATATAAGTATTTTCCATAATTTTTGAAGGCGTTAAATCAATTTATTTCCGCATATTTATTATACAAATACTCATTAATTACCTTACAAATAATTTTTATGATGATTCTATCATCTAAACTCATCATTTACACCCATATTAGATTTTAATTATTTTTAGTACATTTGTTATAATTACATTTGCATTTTAAAGGCTAAAATTGTACATTTTGCAATAGTAGCCCATATGTACTTATAATTACTTTATTTATGCAAAAAATAACTTATATATTTTTTATAATGTTAAAATTGTTTTTAATCATCTGCATACACAATTCATATATTTTTTTATTTATCTATTATTTTTATAAATTATTATTTATTAAAATTAGGTATTTAAAATCTGGCCCCGATTCTATAACTAATTCGGACATAAAACTACCCAAAGCAGCCCAAGCCCAATACCCCTAACCCAATTACCCTTAACTATTCATTAAACCCAACCCCAATCCTCCTTAATCCTAGCCGTTGATAAAAAATGATCAACGGCCCATAACTAATGACCCCCTTCCCTTATACCCCTCATCTCTACCCTAATCCTCACTTTTCTAAAATCGCCGCCCTCATCCCCCCTCCCCTGTTGAACCCTAACGCCGCCGCCTCACCTAAATCCCCCCGAATCTCGGTCCTAATGGGATTCTTTCCTTATTCCCTTACCATTTTAGTGTTTTACCTTTATTTGGTGCTGAATTTCTTAATAACTTAGGTACTTGCCTAAACATGGCAAGTACCCCGCTGTGATTTCGTCCATATCTATGTTTACCTCTTGAATCTGGACAACCTCGAGTCTAGGTACGTTATTTGTAATGATTCTCTCATATTTCGCTTAGTTCGCACTAAGCCTTAAAGGTTAGGGTTCCAGATTTTTTTTTGATTTGAACCCAATCTGGTTCAAACACTGATTTTTTAACATTTGTTTTTCGTCTATATTTGCTCTATTACTTATGAGTCTGTTGGGTTATCAAAATAATAAGTGTATCAGTCAATATTCGAGGACGAATGTTCCAAAGGGGAGGAATGATGTTACACCCCATATTTTCTTACGTGAAAGTGCGCCATAAGTTTATTGATGAAAGCTCGGAAATGAGATGTTACATCCCGCATTTACATACATTAAAGTTTCGTCGTAAGTTAATCGACGTAAGCTCAAGAATGATATTATTTTGAGGTTATAAGTATTATGCTATTTCAAACAAGTGATAAGTAAATTCGTGAATGTGAGAGAGTAAGCAAATCGAAGAAAATGAGTTTTGTCGAAGTTTGACATTTTGAGATAAAATACGGTCCAAGCTATAATACCCCATATTTATGGACTATTGCCATACACGGTACCACATGACCATGATGGTATGATGTATAAAGTGTGTTAAAAATGACTAGTATTTTAAGTAATTTGAGATAATTATTAATTATGTGGATAATTGGGTAGTTATTGAATTTAGTGGGAGATTAACTAATTAATTAATTTATTTGGATAAGTTTGATTAGTCTCCTTAACGTGGAAGCAAGGGAATTATATAAATGTAACTCTTTGGCTAAGGGCTAGGTGTCATATTTAGGGGCTTTGTTGGCTAAGTCATCCCCTAAAGTGGGTCCCACTCAATAAGATAAAAAAATCAATCTCCCTAATTCATTAAAGGGAGATGGATTAAGAGATTCAGCAAGGTAATAGATAGGATTCTCAACAATCTCATATGAAGCCCTATAACGCTACCGCAACGTGAGTTACTTCAACAAATTCATACGAGACTACTAATTCACAAAGAGAGGTGGACTAGAATTAAGCAAATTAACGAATCTTCAGCAAAAATTTCATACGAAGTTATACTGCGTCATAGCAACAGGATTTACAATTCTAAGGGAGCCCGGTATAACCTTTCTCAAGAATATCATGCGGATTGTTTTCCTACTTCGATCTCGCCATTACCTATTTTATCGCGATTGACTTGTGTTAGAGATATTGTTAAGAGAATCGGCTCAGATATGTTAAGGCTATCCCTTCTTTCCTTTGGCACGATACAAATGAAACGAGCAAAATATGCAACTTTCATAAATGACTCTATTAATAGAAATACTAGGGGTGTCTATATTCTTAATTCCACATGTGTCTCAGAAAATACATAAGTTGATAAAGTTTATTTCATGATATTAATCAGAGGCATAATGGTCTTATGATGTTTTGAGAGTTTTTAATGACGTATTTCATATGCATTTCAGGCATTTATACATGCACATTCACCAATGACCAGATGGCGTTATATACGCGTATATATATGTATATAGGATATGGGAAAGGTTACGGCGTTATATTCGCACCTCCACCTGATAAGCTGGTATACGTTGATGATTTGCCCACAGTGGCCGAGATGATATGATGGGATGCCCTCAGAGGCTTGATGATGTTATGCACGCATATACCTATGCATGGTATGACATTTATATGCTTATGCATGACATTATAAATATGAAATGATTCACAGAGTTATTCAGACTTATATGTTGAGTCTTTTACTCCATGTTACTCTCATGTCTATTACTTACGGATTTTTATTCCTTACCTACTTGGTACATTATTTGTACTAACGTCCCTTTTGCCTAGGGACACTGTGTTTCATGCCCGCAGGTCCCGTTAGACAGTTGAGAGTCCTCAAAGTAGGCTATCAGCTCAGCGGAAGGTGTTGGTGCGCTCCATTTGCTCCGGAGTTACTATTTGGTCAGTATGATTAGGACATGTATTGATTGGTATGGCGGGGCTCTGTCCCGACCTTTATGACAATTATATATGAAAGAATGTATGGCCTTATCGGCATATGTTCAGTGTACGAGTGATCATTTTGGTCTTATAGGCCGTATGTCTTATGTATAAGTTGGTATTATATGTTTTATTCTAGTTATATCACGACTGCTTTTCCGTCTCATTTTCCTATTATAGTATGATACGAAAAGATATGTTATGTTGGTACTCGTTTGACTAAGGTACCGAGTGCCCATCGTGGCCCATCGGGTTGGGTCATGACAGTAAGTTCTTCTTATGCGAATATGAGATAGACCGACAGCCGGTACGGGACTAAGGGACTGTGGGAATAGCAAAAGACCAGATTCAATGATATAGGGCAATCAAAAGGAAGATGGTGAAAGACCACCACAAAGAGACCCTCACTCACGCCTTAGTCCTATTCGAAAACAAAAACGGATGGACCTTCCTCAAGAAAAAGGCCAATCTGATTTTGGGGGGTATGTAGGCGGAGAAAGTCTGGGAATCTAATAAGGTCTCATAGGAAAAAGACAAAACATAGGTAGGCTACCATGCGGAGTGAAGGTAACTAGCCAATTCCCCAAGGTCTAGTAAACTAAGGTGGTAGTGCGGACAAGGTTAATTCACTCTGGGATTTCTAGTCTCGTCTGCTATGACGTCGGAATAATCATTATAATACGATAACAGCACCTGATTAGCAAGAAATTCCCTGCTATCCTCTTATCAATGATCTGTCTAGGGCTACTTTCAAAACTGTGGATTCTGTAATAAGACTCTATTCATGGGCATTCTCCGAGTTAGAATGGAATTCATACCCGGCAATCTACGATCTACCCAATGCCTTAGTTTATGTTGAATAGGCATACCTGACTTCCAGCTAATTGTCAAATAAAGCTATCCGTGCTTTAATTTCTAGCTTAAAAGCATTCTTTGAAGCAAAATTTCCGGTAAATCAAGCCTGCGTAGAATACTTGACTTTTCCATGTGCAAGACCACAAAAAGTATTCCTCTATAAAGCTTAGATCAGCGAAGGCCTTACGGAGATTGACCTCTATTTCTCTTCAACCCGGACTGATCGGTCGAGCTCTCGTAATCAATCGCTCATATGTCCATTTCGTTCTAGCTAGTGCTCATCTCCAGCTCTGTTTCCAACCTTTCATTTAATATAGCATTCCCATATATAGTACCTCTTATTTAATCCTTCTATACGTCAAAGCCTTCTCCCATCGGTAGTTGGAAGCAGAACTGAAACTGGATATAACTGAAGGAGAGGCTATATAGGTATGATAGGAGGGTATAGTTAAGCATGTAAGAGAAGGCTCTCTCTCTCGCTCTGTGGTTTTGTGTAAAGCCTTTCCGCCTATCTATTATTTTTTTTTATCTTTATTCAAAGTAAGAAGATCAAAAGCACGAAAAGGAATGTCTTAGCGTGCCCTTACTCTAATTAAAAATCCGTCTCATTCAATCTATTCTAATTCCTCTCCCTTCATTCCTCGTTCCGCTTGTAAATTCATGGTGTAATACTCACTCGTAAATGATTGGTGTCGGAATCTCTCACTAATCAGGTGTGATCAGTCTCATCAGTGTAAGAATTAGGAATTCCTCTTCCAACCCGTCCCCGAATGGGCGTTATTGGAAAGAACAAGAAGAAAACTAAAGGAGAAATTTGTCTAATAGTAATAAAGGGTGCCTCCACTGGTTGACATCCGATCCAACCTAGTAATAAGCAATCCGCCAAAAGCAACCAAAATATTCCTTGGTGAATCGGGCAAAAACTTGAACTACATACATACATACCTCTAAAAAAGGGTAAAGCCAATAGACATATAATAATTGGTGCTATTGCGGCTACACCTCCTGCTTTTTCAGGTATACTACGAAGAATGGCATGGATCGGTAGGAAATACCATTCTGGCACAATATGAGGTGGGGTGGAAATCATATTAGCAGGTATATAATTGTCGGGATACCCCAAAACAGTAGGAGCATCAAAAATCCAAATGGAAAAAAAGATAGCAAAAGCTACCCAACCTACTAGATCCTTTACATAAAAATAAGGGTAAGAAGCAATTTTATCCATCTCTAAATGTACACCCAATGGATTACTGGATCCATATTGATACAATGCGGCCAGATGAAGAAGACCACCACCAAATAAAATAAAGGGGAGTAAATGATGAAGACTAAAAAAACGATTTAAGGTGGCATTGTCCACGGAGAACCCATCCCAAAGCCAAGTCACTATGGTATCTCCTACTACAGGTATGGCGCCAGTTAAGCTTGTAATTACTGTAGCTCCCCAAAAGCTCATCTGACCCCAAGGTAGTACATATCCTATAAAAGCTATCACAATCATTAATAGGAAGATTACAACTCCGAGGCACTGAACAAATTCCCTAGGACTTCTATAACTGGCATGATATAGACCACGAGAAATATGAAGGTGAACCACAATGAAAAATATAGACCCTATCTATGTTTCTATGATGGCCCAAGAACACACTCATTCTTCAATAGTAGATAGACTTTTGAATTGTGAGGTACCATTACGAGCTCAATATATACGAGTGTTATTCTGTGCAATAACTCGAATTCCAAATCATTCACTTGATTTAACTAATCATGCTATGGATGTAGGAGCATCAACTCCATTCCTGTGGGCTTTTGAGGAGCGGGAGAAATTGTTGGAATTCTATGAAAAAGTCTCGGAAGCTAGGATGCATGCCAGTTTCATACGACCAGGTGGAGTGGCACAAGATCTGCCTCTTGGCTTATGTATAGATATTAATTTATTCACACAACAATTTGCATCTCGTATCGACAAATTAGAAGAGATGTCAACTGACAACCGTATCTGGAAACAACGATTAGTGGATATTGGTACTCTTACTCTAGTACAAGCAAATGATTGGGGATTTACTGGTGTAATGTTAAGAGGTTCTAGGGTATGCTGGGATTTGCAAAAAGCATCACCTTATGATGTTCATGACCAATTGGATCCTGACATACACGTAGGTACCATAGGAGATCCTAGTGATTGTTATTGTATTCGTATCGAAGAGATACGATAAAGTGTTTGGATCATTTTGTAATGTCTTAATCAAATGCCTAGTGGCATGATCAATGCCGATGATCGTAAGCTATGTCCTCCATCACGATCTCGAATGAAACTATCCATGGAATCGTGCGCTATGTGAAAGGTATATCATCGCCCTTCTTAACCGAGACTCAGGTTAAGCTCCATCTCGGAACCTTGTGGGAACCCCAAAATTGTTGGAGCATCCTGAGGTTGGAGCATCTCGCTGAGCATAAAAAAGCATTGGGAACCCCAAAATTGTTCTTCGGAGCCGTTTCTTTATCCGTCCCCCCGCCCGGCATAGCGCTTCGCTTCCGGTTCTTCAGAAGAATCAACTTACGTCTCCCTTCTTTATTTATTTGGGGGAAAATGAACTGTCTACCAGTTGGGAAGCTAGACATCAAGTAAGTGGTTTGATGAGGATAACTAAGCTGACATACCAGAGTTGGCTACTATCACAACAGGGTGGTGCCTTACCGCACCGTAGGCGGACGCGCTGTAGCGTTCATAGTTGTGCTTCAGGATTCCAATTTATTGCGTCCAAGATCAGAACGACCTTGTCGGTGGACCACTGCAGTCCCATTCTTGAGTGAGCTGGAGCACAACCATATTATCCACTTAACTAGCTAGAAGCTATCACTTTGGGTCGAAGCACTAAAAGAAAAGGACCGGGAACCGCGGCGGCATAGGAAGAACGGGACCCCCTACTAGTAAAGGGAAAATGGAAGTGCACTCCTGCGCACCAGCTGAAAAGGTCCTTTCCCTTTTTAATAGTATAAGGTAAGCTTTATTGCTCCAACATAGTCAAGGGGCTTTGATGCCCTTTGTATAGGTTGGGTTGCTGGATATGGGATCCTCGTAGTAGGTTGGACCAAGATCCAGCCGACATAAGGTAGTCTTTAGAAAGCAAGAGAATGCTTCGCGTTTTGTTATCTTCTTCCCTCCCTAGGAGTAGCACAAAAAGAGGGATTAGAATTATTGACCCAATGATAAAGCACTAACACCTTCCTTGTTGGGGCTTCGTGCACTGGGAAAATTGGCACTAGTTACAAATCTCAAATAAGGTATCGAGAGGGCTATCACAGTCAGGTGTGAATTGATTACCCCTATTTCTAAACTACACCTCTTCCTATTTAGGGAGTCGAGGCAAAAAATGACTTGAGAGCAAAGTTGGCTTGGAGAGCGCAGATGAGGAAGCTGGAGCAAGAAAACTAATAATCTCTTTCATGTCCTTCTACTTAAGGTCAAGGGGCAAAGAGAAGCCCTTTTTCTATTGAGAAAGCAAACGGTCAGCGGGAAGGTTCAAGACTTAGCCAAGCGTTAGCGAAGCTATATTGTCATAGCAAGGCGCATCTAGTATGCGAAGCGCTGTAGTAGCACCGAAGCCCTATGTGCTATAATACAGAGCCAAGGATGTTTCGCCTTCAATATAGAAGCAGTCAACTGAGTTCTGAACAAATTAGCTCCTTGGTAATGGCATAATCTTTAGATAGAAAGCCCTATGATGGGAAACTACCACGCTAGGTTTTGAGAGAGATGGGATCGGTTATATAATAGAGGAAGCAGATGCAAGCTTTTTCTTTTAATAGCCAGCCAAATCACTACAGGATCATCAGTCTACTCTACCTCAATTCACCATTTTGAACCTTATACAAAAGGTTTTTCCGTATCGGCTCCTTCTACCTATAACACAGTTGAAGCACCTAAAGGAGAATTTGGTGTCTTTCTGGTTAGTAATGGAAGCAATTGTCCCTACCATCATAAAATAAGAGCACATGGCTTTGCCCATTCACAAGGACTCAATTCTATGGCCAAACATCACATGCCAGCAGATGTGGTCACCTTCAAATGTACTCAAGATATTGTGTCTGGAGAGGTGGATGGATAAGACTACTAGTTCCTCGATCGGGACCCTAGCTTTATTGCAAGCCAAAAAACCCAATTTATACGCCCCCTTTCTTTATTTAAGGAGATTCTATCCAATTATCAGCCCTAATGCGAAAAGGAGTAAAGAAAGAAGAGTTGAAGACGGCTTAACAGTAAGAGAGAACCCCCTCATCTCTTGGCTAGGAACATCTATGTAGATGGGATTGGATTCATAGTGCCAGTTAGGGGTAGGTATAAACCTTCATTCATCTTCTTCGATCTTCCTTGGAACATCCATCATCTTGGTCTCGACCTTGTTGAGCTCTCCCTGATCGAAAGTTCCTATTTTGCTGCCTCTTCGATCGTCTCTGACTCCCTAAAAAATAAGGGTACTTGGTGACCTAGATGGTCAGGGTTTTTCCTTACCTTAGCTGAGCCTTATGTCCCTTCAACATTCCTATTCATCTTGCCTTGTCTTGGGCACCGCAGTGGACTGATTATCCTATAATTAATATCTACTCTAAAGATTAAGACGATAGAGGGTCTCCCTTCCATAAATTCGATTGGGACTGATTCTCAGGATCGAGCCCTTATCAGAGGCGTGCCTACCGACACCTGTCAATGTCCTCGTCTTGTACGACGCCTCCTTCCATTTGCTCCAGCTATGAAAGAAAAGAAGGGCGCAACACTTTATTCTCTTCTACCGCTCTTTGTTTACTTCTGGCCTTCCCGAACTCCTACACGGGTGGAGTCAGATCTTGGAGTAAGCTCCTTTCCATGGGCAATCTACTCAAGAGTTTAGGCTCTTAATTCGGTCTATGTCTAGGCTGCTGCCATTCTCAAATGCGAGGGGCTCCAAAAGCGGATATGATGGACCTCAGAGGAGAAGGGCTCCAAAAGTGGATGCGATCGGCCTTAGAGGAGAGGGGAGGCAACTTTTTTTTTAAGCAACTAAACAACTCGGCAGCACTTTCCTAGTGGCTCATATATAAATAGAATCCCAAAATGGGTCCAAAGCTTACAAGATGTCCAAACCAAAATAGAAGTTGCATGAAACTACTAGCTATTAAAAAGATAGAAAAGCTAAAATCTATTGGCAGCACTTTCCTAGTGGCTCATATATAAATAGAATCCCAAAATGGGTCCAAAGCTTACAAGATGTCCAAACCAAAATAGAAGTTGCATGAAACTACTAGATATTAAAAAGATAGAAAAGCTAAAATCTATTGAACTAGCTATTACAATATGATAAGTTGAATGCTTCCTTCTCCTGTTAGTGTATGTGAATCCAATTGTCATTGAAAAATACCAAGCAACACCTATCAAGCTCTCACCAGACGCCAGGGTATATTTTCCATAGGCTAAAATGAATTCCAAACATCACCACCACAGAGTTGAAGCCAGCATAGTCTTCCAAGTGTAGCTACTATATGATCTCCATATGCAGTGGACTAATTTTGTTCAAGTATTAATCATGTGCTCACTCATCAAAATTAATGTATAGAAGAGGAGCCTGGCTTTAGGCAGGCTTTGCAAGGCAAAGGCCGGGCATGAGCTGGCTTTAGGTAGGCTTTGCAAGGCAAAAGCCAGGCTTGAGCTGGATTTAGGCAGGCTTTGCAAGGCAAAAGCCAGGCTAGAGCTGGCTTTAGGCAGGCTTTACAAGGCAAAAGCCAGGCATGAGCTGGCTTTAGCCAGGCTTTACAAGGCAAAAGCTAGGCATGAGATGGCTTTGCAAGGCAAAAGTCAGGAATTAAGCAGGCTTTACAAGGCAAAGGCCAGCCTTTGAAATTTTGCCTTTTTATGATCTTGTAAGCTCAGATCCTTCCCTGCTAGAACCTTTAATGTAGACATCATTCGAAACATTGCTAAACCATCCTCATATTGAGCATTAAAGCATGCTAATACCATTGAGAAATGATTCAACAATCTCCAAAAATACTATATGTTGGGTTCAACATTTTCCTTAGCATTTGGACATATCAGTTTGTGCAGAGTCCATATCTGTGAAGCCATCAGTCTGGGGTTCTTCTCTTTGCTATCCTAACCCTAAGGTTTGATGATTGAGATTTGTGTAGATTGATCGACCTCCTTCCTGCACTAGGCAGTTCAGAGAATGAATGAAGCTCAGATGTACTTGCAAAAGAGAACACAATGTTAGCTATAAAATCCTCCACTGAGTTGCCTTCTCTGAACACATGTTGAAAGATCACATTGAAGTTGTCCTTCATCTCTATAATTTTCTTCACATCCTGTGCAATTACCCAGGGAGGATCCTATTACCCTTCTATCGCCTTCTTCATCACCAATGAATCAGTCTTCAGTATGAGAGGTTGAAGATCATGCTTCACACAATATTCCAACCCTTGATGAATAGCCTTAGCTTCAGCCACCACATTAGTTGTCACTCCCAGGTCTACTGCCCTAGCACACACCACATCACCTTCATCATCCCTCATACAAAAACCAAGGGAGCTAGGTCCAGGATTGCCCTTTGAAGCTCCATCAGTATTACATTTGTA